TTATGTTCTTCATAGATGCAGCTCCTGGTCATCGCATGGAACAGTCCACTCATCAGTTAAGAACCCTACTTGATGAAGATGCGCGTAGTTAGAATGAAAGTCAGGAGTTGCGAACGAATCCAAAAAGCATTCGTTACATCCACTTGCCATGGATATTTGAAGGCTTACAACGAACCATATACTTTCCCTCACATATCTGATCACACCAAACTAGCTTGGTGGTTCCTCAAATAGATGTGTGGGAAAACTTGTGCAGTAGGTTGAAGACGATGAAATGGTAAAATTTCCGTCAGCCTGAAGTACCTGAACCGACAGATACATACATAGCGTTCATAAGGAAACAAGTCTATATTTTAATGTGCAAGCCGTCAATCAACGTTTACTAGTTCGTTTAATTTGCGCAGTCGTTTGACCGAATTCACCTTGGATGATCCAAAACGGCCACCAATTTAGTTTTTTGAAGGGTGTGGTCTACTTGAGAAGGTCAACGAAAGTTTGGCTGCTTTGAATGCACTACTAAATACTTTCGTTAATCTATCCTGCAGAGTATCGCAGGTCACATTCCTGTTGAATTGTAGTTTATTAAATAAAGACTTATTTTGAGAGGTCGAAGTTACTGACTTCTTTTTTACATCAAACATATACTTCCTTATTAATTCGCTGGGGTAGCCAATCTCAGTCAACGAGCTGTTGATAAATTCCAGCTCCTGACTTAAAGTGTCCACTGAACAGATCATTTTTACTCTGCTGGTGAGACATCTAACCGAATTTCTCTTGTAGAGGATAGGTGTAAAACCACTAAAGTGAGTGTATTGGCAAGCAGTGGGATTTTTTCTGTTTACGCTTCTAATTAGCGAGTCATCACCTCGCCTGCTTAGTGTGACGTCAAAGAAAGTCAGCTTTTTATCATACTCCTCTTCACCAGTGAGATCGCCGTGTGTACACTGTTGAATTATTCGAGGAGTTTTTCTTTGCTGATATTCTGATCTACAATGAAGAATGTGTCATAGACGTACCGGAAATATAGATCCAATTTCGTAATAGCCTGATTAGGCGGTCCATTTTCTAGCTTTTCTAGGAAGAGATCAGCTAGGATTGGGCCCAGAGAATAGCCCATGGCTATCCCGTCTATTTGCCTACAATAAGTGTTGTTGAAGACGAAATGGATGTTCACCGTACATCTTAAGAACAATTCTTTCAGGTAACCCACGGGAAAGCCAATGTTGATTTGTTTTTCCGTAATTTGCTAGCATATGAATTCAATAGTCTCAACAATTTTATCACGTTTACCATCTCTGCTGGTCATACTTCAGAAGCAACACCAATGGAATGCTTTTCCAACTCTCACATCACAGTTTCCGGAGAAAGGCAGATATGATAATTAAGAGTATTAGAATTCCCAGAATGGTCCAACAAAAACCTAAAAAAACCCGATTAAAATGGCTGAACTAATTTTCTTGAAATTCTTAATGAGCGCATAGTAACATATGAAAGAATTGCTATTGTACACAAACGTGCGTATGCAAGGACAGGCCAACATGTTATGGTTTTTTAGTCGGTGATAGCTACTTTTTGATACTACTTTTTGATAGATACTTTTTTTGCATCCTAAAATATTATCTGAAGAGTCAGCACCTTATTATTTTTCTTAAATATTAGTCTGGATATTTGCCAAAGACTTGGTTACTTTAACCATGAGCCTGTAAATTTTTCTTTTGAAGCATCTCAACAAGAAAATCTATGCACATTTACGTCATTCATTCTTGTTATTGCAGGCCTGGATTTACCTTGCATTGGTCCTCAGTCATAAGTGGTTCATCGTAATGTAACCGTGGTAACTCGCCCCAACTATCACATTACATATTGCAGAGTCTGTAACATTATCTATAATTTTATGTGGAAAATTTTAGCCATCTAGATGAAGCCCATGGATCCTATGAAACATTTAGGTAACTGAACAACCTTTCTTAAAAAATATGTTATCAGTTTTCGCGTTTTGATCTTGCCTGTAAATTGGCAGGCCTCTTGTAACATAATGTTATATGAAAATAAATTATCATTATTATTTTTCAGTGAGATGCTCATGCTGAGATAGTTTGGCGTGCTTAATAAGTTATCCGCCATTATCACATCACTTTTAATTTCCTTGTAACTTAGAAAGGATAACCCCAAGTCCTGGAGTCTATCTTCGTAAGTTTTATTCTTCAACACTAACACCCTTTTCGTCGCTTGTCTCTGGCCTCGATCCAGTAGATTTATGGCTCTTTTAAGGAGAGCGGGTGAAATGACATTGCGAACCTTAAGGTGTGGGGGTGCGTATTTTTTAAACAGTCTTAAGAATAGCCCTGAGCTCATAGGAACGAGTTGCCTTCGCATGAATCGAAGAGTTGCGTTAGCCTTGACAGAGCCTCCTAAGAAGTTCGAACTGCAATCTTGGCCATGAAACCAGGATCTTGCTGTGAGGACATTATGGGATGGACTACCGTTGAGGGTGTCTCATTTGCATCATGTGGAACAGAATGTTTTAGTTTTAAACCGTTTTTCACTGCGTGTTCTTCAATAGATGTAAGGTGCTTTTTTTATGTTTTGTACTTGACGTAACGCCAAACCACTGTAGTAATGACACACCGAACGTTAGACCCCTCCGTTCAAAAATAAGAAGACGGAAGACGTTGGAGAACACTTATAATCAGAATCAAATATATACAATCAAACATGCGTATTTATACAATTACATAAATGTCGTTTAAATATTTTGAACATTAATCAAATAGTTCATCAATCCACAATGTGCGTGGCTTTCTTCTCGATTGGCTATCTCAACACTTTTGAAGCCCTATTAAATCATCTTCGCTTCTGATGAACCTCCATATCCGTTTATTGTCTGCGTAGATCACTACCGCTGAGATAACTCCGTTGAACTGATTATCAACAAATATCAGGTAGAGGAGTGGACCTAAGATAGTCCCTGTGAAACCCTCGATGTTGGGACTACCCGACTCGCATGCACTCTATTTACTGTGGTCCGAAACTTTGAATTTTCAAGTTAGTTTCCTAGACAAGATTGGAGTAGGTAAGCAAAGCCCATTTTCATGACTGCTGCAATCATGGGTGCGCGGGTTATTGTGTCAGTCTTTTACGGGGTCAAGAAAGATTATGTGGACCAGTAGTTTTGGTTCCAGTATTCTGTCCAGTTGTCCCATGCTATAAGAAGATTGGATGCGCACAACCTGCCTTTACGAAACCCGTGTTCAGCTTCATGGAGGATTTTGTTCTTCTCTCTGTGTTTCCTTATTCGCTTATTCACCAGCTGTTTCACTACCTTCGACAGTTTCGGCAGCAATGCGGCTGGTCTGTAACAGGCCGGATCCCTGCTATTTCCTCCTTTGAAGATATGGGATAGAGAAGCTTGTTTACACACAACTGGGGGATAGTTTGACTGCAGTGAATGTCTGAGAAGATCACATACCTGTGAGCTGAGGAATTCTGCACACTGTTTCAAGACTATAGGGCGAACATTGTCACATCGTAGGTACTTTCCTAGGCGCAAAGATTTTAGTTTTCTGAGTACTTTGTCAGGAGTAAGTTGAATACTTCCTAAGCCGTCAGCTGGCACTAGGTTTGAGTAGTAGTCTGAACGTGTGGGTACTTGGTTTAACTAATCCGTGAAGTTGGTATTGAATATTCCAGCCATCTCTGGGTTGGTAAGATTCTCGCAATTAGGACCTTCGGGGCACAACCATCATGATTCGTAGGTATTCTCTTTGTCATGAACCCAAACAGATATTTTGGGTTCACCTGTACTTTGGCTGCTGGCTACATTTGGAAGTGTAACTTATCACTTCGAACTTTTTTTCTGTTTCTTACTGCCAATTAAGGACTACTGTCCGAATCCTTCAGAGAGACTTTCCACTTGTTCCAGGCCCTCGCCTGTAGCAGCCGTTCAGTGTCTCGCTTAACCCAAATTCTTCTATTTCCCGGTGTGTGATCTTCCTGTTAAGGACGCCATTTTGGATGATTTTTTCTTCTGTTTGCAAGTAAGCATCTACTGTTAGCCACCACCATTCCTGTGGCCATGGGGCATGATGGAGATGATCTCTCATGCGCGTTTAGTCTGCATTAATGTAGCGAAGGTAGGACTCACTTTCGTTCTGCCCGAGTGTTTCTTTCACGACCAAGTTAAGAATGACTGTACCATGGTCACTACTTTTTACTGGTTGATGGACGTGAACATCCTCGCGCAGGAGCTGGCCATTTGTTAACAAATAATCCGATTCTGAGGATTTTTCATCCTTAGCCCTACCAACAGCTTCTAATGGCTGCGACAAGTTGCATTTTGAAACAATCAGTGGAAGGTGTACTCTGTTTGCTTAGATTTAGAGATGGGGTGTAAGGTTTTGAAGTGGCTCCTGAATTCGAAAGAACAGTTCTAGAAGCTTAGATACGCGCCCTTCCAGCTAAGAGTATTTGATCAAACCCAAGTAGCTATTTTTATCCTCTTAGTGTTGTTCGAGGACCGAATCAAGAAATTTATCTTTCATCAGACAAGAAAAGTCACCTAAAATCTTGACAAAGATGTCAAGCAATAATTAGTCACTAATTTTTACCAAGGAAAGTTGGAGATTTGAACTGAAGCTCTCCCTTGCTTGAACTTTGGTCCTCTCACAATCTTCACTACCAATTAATAACCTAAATTATCTATATATCACTTGTTTTTGAAATCCTCTTATTAGCATTAGAATTTTCTCCTTATTACTCTGTACATCTCAACTAACGTTTTCAGTCAAATTACGAGACAACTAACTCACAACCAACTGCCAACTGACTAGAATTAGACAGTTAGTCCTCATTTATTGGATACTACCAAACAGCTGTAACCGTGCCGAGAGAACAAGAATCGAGCGTAAAGAAATCAATTGATTTAAATCAGCTCTAGAAAAAGATATTGGATATTGGATATTACTCTCAAAGGCGCCCTATTGTAAGATAAACGTTACATAATGACTGTTGATTCGGAGGGAAATAAGATCGTCGTTTGTGATAATGGCACAGGAGTGAGTTTAATAGACTCCTTTAATTGAAGCCTTTAGTTTGTTAAGTGCGGATATGCTGGAGCCGCTTTTCCCGAATATATCTTCCCATCACTTATTGGGAGGCCAATATTGCGCGCAACTTCTCGTGTGGGCAATTTGGAAGTTCAGGATCTTATGATAGGTGACGAAGCAAGTGAATTGAGGCAAATGTTGGAAATAAGCTATCCATTGGAGAACGGTATTGTTAGAAATTGGGACGATATGATACATCTATACGACTACATATTCGGACCAAAAAAGATGAACATTGATCCCAAACATGCAAAAATTTTATTAACAGAGCCTCCTCTCAATCCATTAAGTAACAGAGAGAAAATGGTTGAAGTGATGTTTGAAAAATATGGTTTCAACGCATTATTCATTGCCATCCAAGCAACACTGACTCTTTACGCCCAAGGCAAGCTACTATTCATGATTGTTGATAATGTGTTGCTAGCTATGTACCTGTTATAATGTTATCTCTGAACTCAAGAAACGTCTCTGATGTAGGTATTTCGCAGCGATTGATTGGATAGTTATAATCTTTTAAACAATCCTAATTTCCTTTCTAGTTATGTTAGGAATTCAACTAATTCTAAGTAACTGTTGCAAGGCAGTTTGATAAAATAAGTCTACGAAGAAGAATGCGGATTAATATACTGTTTACGGTGTTGAACTTGTGTTTGAGCATTCATCCCCCCAAATTGTGTCCTTCTGATAGGATGAATTTCATCAGGTTTTGTTTTGTTATGAAAGTGTTATTCACCTGTAATAGTTTCTTTTACACCTACAACAAGACAAAATTTATTTTTCGGTAGTTTTAGCCAGGTCTATAGTTGGCGATTTGACTTGTTCAAACTTGTTATATGTTCCCCTATTCACAACAATTCCACTATCCAAAGTACTAGGCACAGTTTAATTGTTGTATTAAGGAACTCCGAACGCTTACAAGACTAGAACTAGGATTATAAATTAATTTTAGAAACTGAGTTAGGTCAAATAAGAGTAAGGATTTTCATCACAAATTAATACCAGCTATCAGACCACTGTTTATTTACCGAATCAGAGCTATTCTTAGTGTCTGAAGGCACTAGTATTTATCTAACATCGCAGTTTGTCTCTACCAACTGTTGTATGATGCCCTGGCATTTTTTTCTTAACTCAGCTCTATCAATATTAACGAATAAGTGGAGATGTAATATACATATATACCTTGTAGGCTAACTCTGTGACAATTTGGGGCAGTATGTCCGATTATTATTATTACTAATGTAAAAACGATTAAGTTCTCCCACTACAAGCGCAATCTAGACAAATTGCCTAAGTTAGAGACAAATACCACACCAATTTAACGTTTGCAACCTACACACGATTGGAGATATATCTTGATATCTCGAATTATTTAAACATAAAAATTGGTATCAAAGAGCATTAGAATATACATGTGCCACAAAAATGATTGAATCTGTGAGTGGGCTAGGATACTGCTCAAGTGTTCAAACTAAGACAAATGGTTTTATTAAGTCATTCTCCAAGCCTTTGGTCTACAGGTCTAACCCACAAGGAGATGCGGTCCCATGGTAGCCAGTGACCAAAAACTGGTTAACACATCATTTGTCTCTTCGGAATACTGAAGTTTATGTGCACTATCAGTTTGGAATCAGTTTTCCGACTTCCGTATGTAGATCCTCCATACTGATGAACCCGGTTTAAGCTTTCATCGAATGCTCGCTTTTCGTCCTGTGGATTAAGTAAATACTTGTGGTTATACTAGAGCATTTTGAGAGGGACAGCGGACTCCCCTCACCCTCGGCCATACCAAAACATTTGAGGGCATATTAATGTTATCTATACATATTTCGAAAGAGCCTCTTAGATCTCAAACGAAGAATGACTTCATGAACAACATTACTAAGTGTATCGTAAAAAATTATATCCATATATCCATATCGTCTCTAATTTCAATATCTTTCTGTTTTGTCAGATTTCTTTTCTAGAGAGAGTATGACAATTTGAACCGATGTATGTTTGTGAAAGGTGCTTATATCAACATGCTTATATCCCTTGTTATTATTGTATTAATGTTCGATAGTTAATGTCTTTATTTAGATTTGTTGTACAGAAATGTTTAGAAACTCCCTTCTGACTTTTTGCAAGGACATTTATTTGGATATACTCTTTGATATAGAATAAATTAACATTTTCTTTCGGAAAAGAGTCGTGTAAAACTGAATTAGTCTCTTTGCAACGGACTATCTCCGTTGTGTCTTAACGTCATCATAAATGTATATTATTAGCTACTGGATGGTTTTGGCATCTATCGTAATATTTATGAGTAGTCATAGTGGTGTTATTTGTCTTTTGTATGCTTACTAATTTTTCTTAAAGATTGTTGTATTTTTTATCCTTGTTTTTCCTCATAAGGTCTTATGACGGGTGTTGTTGTTGATTCGGGTGATGGTGTCACTCACATATGCCCAGTTTACGATGGACTATCCTTACCTCATTTGACAAGACGTTTGAACGTTGCCGGTCGCGACATCACACGTTACCTGATAAAAGCAAGTGTTTTCAAGTGAAGCATTTTTAATATTTTTACGAAACTCCTCGTGATTTTCGTAACTGATGGTTAGAAACATTGAATCAAATGGCTCCAAATTGTTTGCAGTGGTAAAGGTGCATTAATTCTTTGTATTTCCTCAAACCCTAAACTTCTGAATCTTTCATTATTTTTTTATTTCACCTACTTATGTTCGCTCAAATCTCATCATCGATGCCTAATATCTTGCTACCACTAGTTCTGTTACTCACTCAGTCATTCAGCTACAACCTAGAACTTCGTACGTACGTACATCACTTCAGGTTGCCATACCGCATTAGCACAGAGACGCAATTGTCAGTTCAAATCCAATAATGATAGCGATAGTAGAAGTATTAGCAGTAACGCAGAAGATTAGGGTTCGAAGATATGATTCGAGAAGTATAATTCAGTGAGATAAAGTTAGGAAGAGAAAGATAGAGATGATGAGGAATTCAGAAGGTTAGAATTTGAGAGAACACAAAGAGTGGATGCACCTGCTCCATTGCAAACGATTTTGAGCCATGTCATTCAAGGTCTCACCATCGGTTAGTATCGTCTCACGGACACCCGAACAGGTATCCTACACTTACCAACATCACTCTCCAACCGTGGCTGCTATATGGACGTGGTGGTCGGGCTTGCCTATCGTGACGACCCAACTGAGCTATATTGGCTGGAACATATGTTCCTGTAGGTTCTATCATTCCACGCAGGTCGATTGGAGAACGATGAGACTTAAAGCAGCAACTCAAGGTCTGAGGGCGACGTTGTACTGCTGACTGTAGCAGGGTGTGACAGCAATAAGGTGTTTCCATCGGACAACGAGCATCTGCAGCGATGCTGCCTTCTCACAAGGAAGGAAGGGTTAGAAAAGGTCGAATCTAAAAATGTCACACCTCATCCTACCTCACGGATTTCCGTCTCCGACGGTAAGGCCATTCAAAGAGCGGAGCTAACATGCCAACTTCCTATTAAATGGCAGAGCACGATCGGTGTCAAGCAGTTGCCCCTTGAGCTCTACGATCACACTCTCAGGTCGCTAAGACCAACGCCGATCCAACTCCATCTTCAGGTTCCTCAAGGAACACCATTTCACGGTGTGGGCAGCTGGAAGTGACATCCGCCCTCATACCCGTGACAACACACGAGACCAAATCGGTCAGAAGCAAATCCATCTTAAACCCCCTAGCATCTCTTTTATCTCCTCGACTAACCCTTCTCAAACTCCTTTATCACGCTGCACCGCTTATGCAAACGATTTGAGTTCACAAAATGTTATTCTTAGTCTCCTATTGTAGCTTTTAATGTCTGGACATTGTGTCAAAGAGGTCAACAGGCTTCCGTAGCCATGACTTTAGAATTTCGCTCCATTGATGTATGCTGCGTCTTCGAAATGCGCATACAGGATCCTAGTGAAATTAATTATTTGATTTGAAACTGTCAAAATAAAGAAGCAGCTTGACTTAATCTTCGTGTATCTGGAAGCGTTGCTGCTGCTTCCTTTGGCCTCTCTGGTGTAGGTATATTATTAAGTCCTAGGGCAGAACTAGCACTCAGACTGGATCTCAGTAGACATTCGCCTATGCTCTTTCCGACTAAACTCGAACACTACAGGTCGATTTAGAGCTTATGGCGAACTGTCATCGGTATTCTTTACTTCAAGTGGTGGGCGTCAGGTATGTCCACTCTCCCATTCTTGTTTAATTTTGTCATAGACATGCTCCTAGATATAACATTATCTTCATCTGAATTTTCAGGAGTATACCTACCAGGAAAATCGCTTGTTGACTTATAGTATGCCGATGACATGGTTCTATTCGGTGAAGACGCTGACAAAATGCAGTTTACTGACTACCCTGAGCAACAATGCAAGCAACTTCGGGATGCAGTTCTCATCCTCGAAATGCAAAAATGTTGCTCCAAGATGGCCTGGTGACTGACGAAATCTCAGCACGGATACAGAAAGCTCGACTAGCATTTGCCGACTTGCGTCATTTATGGCGTAGGCGAGACATCTCTTTGATGACTTAAGGACGAGTGTACTGTGCAGCAGTTCGCTCTGTTCTCCTACATGGATGCGAAACATGGCCAGTAAGAGTAGATATTCGTAGTTTACTAGTATTCGATCACAGATATCTTAGAAGCATTGCTCGTGTATCGTGGGACACCTGAGTAAGCAATGCTGCCATTAGGAAGCGAGTACTAGGTAAGGATGTCAGATCAATTGATGAAGTATTGAAACCTCATCAGTTGAGGTGGTTGGGACATGTGTTGCGTATGCCCAACCACCGACTGCCTCGACGAGCTATGTTTTGTGGTGTAGGAGTAGGTTGGAAGGAAGCTAGGGGCGGCCAAACCAAAACATGGCAGAAATCCATGAAGTCACTGACAAGTGGACTGAGTCATGTTGGCAGATGTAGACTACCTGGTTGGGGTCTGCGAGACGAAAGTCACCAATGGTTAGAGACCTTGAACGACATGGCTCAATATCGTTTGCAATGGCGCAGGTGCATCCACTCTTTGCGTTCTCTCAAATCCTTATCTTCTGGATTCGTCAACACATCTACCTTTGTCTTTCTAACTTTATCTCACTGAATTATAGTTCTTGAATATTATCTTCAAATCCTAATCTCCATTAGCAGTAATTCTTCTACTATCCCTAGCACTATGGGATTAGAATTGACAATTGTGGTATGGCAACCTGAACTGATGTACTTACGTACGTAGTTCTGCGTTGTATCTGTCTGTCTGCCCTCAGACCTTGAGTTGCTGCTTTTAGTCTCATCGTTCTCCAATCGACCTGCGTGGAATGGTAGAACCTACAGGAACATATGTTCCAGCCAATATAGGTCAGTTGGGTCATCACGATAGGCAAGCCCATCCACCACGTCTAGGTCGCAACTACTGTTAGGATTTCGTTTACTAACCGTTCTCCTCTGTGATCTTACTTTGTTATTTGAGTAATGCAACTTGAACCAGTTCGCCTACGTACCAAGTTCTGTGTTGTTATTGACTGACTGACGAAACTATTGAGAATTATTTATTCGTATTATGACAGTTTTATTTGACGTTTGTTGGTTTTCCATACTATTTTTTGTAATTTATATGATTACAAATTCATAGAAATAATTTACAAACCTAAGGACTTAGTGAAAGTCATATTAGTTTACAGTTCAGCTGAAGAATTGCTCATAAACTTTCAGTAAGTTGATTGGTTTCCTCTTAGGATTTATTTATTCAGGAATACTAATTTCATATATATTGTTTTTATAGTCTATCCACTCCTAAGTAATTTAAATATAACATTATATTCCTTGAGTAGTAGACTTTCAAACTCTACTGAATTACTTTAAATCAACTGAATTTATCTAGCACTGTAATGAATCTAGATGCTTCATCCTTTAGTTGTTTGTGGATTTGTTTCCCACTATCTGTAATCTTACCTATCCAATAAAGCGTTACTGTAAAATCCCTGCTTATTCACTTATTAACTACTGCTTGAACTACCTGAAATTTATGTTCTATTGATAGTTCTTTAAGCTCTTTTAAAACTCTGGATTTTAAGTTCCATCCGTCTTAGCAAATGATTTCACTCTTCAACTTGAGGGTTGACATAACAATGGTTTGTATCTTGTATTTTCGAAATTTCAGTACAATGAAGTGCTAATGATAGCTAATCATTCAAGTACACGTTTCTTGTTTATCACCTCTTTGTTGGAGTTTGAAAATCAATCTGATTTTGGAACCACTTAATACTTTTTCCATCTCTTCTCCATTTGTTTATAGACACGGATGTAATGTAGTGTTTTACGCCAAAGTTAACGTCTCTGTTGAAATATATTGTTCATTTTCTTCATAACCACGAGTTTGGTTGTATGGTACGTGTTATTTAGAATTTTTTACAATCTTCCTTTCATGTTTATACTATTTGACCTTCGTTGCCTTTGATGCAAAAGCTAATGAGTTGCCAGGTAGTACGAAGTCTGATTGCTCAAACACATGGTTTTTTCATTACAATCTCAAAATAGGAAAAATTGTCCAAAATAAAAGTATCATACCTAGTTTATTGGTTTATCCTTAATTTAGTTTCTTGTGTTTTTGTTTTTTTCTCGTTCCAGCTCTTGTTACTACGTGGTTATGCATTCAATCAGACAGCAGATTTTGAAACGATCCGCCAAATGAAAGAGAAGCTATGTTATGTGGCCTACGACGTGGAACAGGAGCAGAATCTAGCTTTAGATACTACAGTTTTAGTGAAAAAATATACGGTCAGTTAAATGTCAGTTATTAATCTTCATGGGCATTTTTTTGCAAAGCGTGGATTTATGTACTCTGCTTTAAATTGTAAATTTCGTGTGAGGGCTAGTAATATTAACTAGGTTGTTCAAATCGAAGTAAAAGTGTGGTTCAAACCTCTTAACTAGCAATCTTTGTTATATTTTTCAATCTATTTTATTTTTATTTGAAACAAAAGGTTTTACAACCTTTTTCAACATAAAAATTAGAGTTGTTGTATCACATTTCTGACATTTTTTTAGGAATATTAAAACTCTCTTGAAAGCTTCATTTGCTATCTCTTTTGTGCTCGAATGGTTTACTAACTTTAAAGTATTACTGTGTATTTTTTAAATTAAATCATTCACCAGGAATTTTAGCAATAAGCCACACTAAGTAAAGTTTGGTGATATTAGCTGTTTGCCTAAATTGAGGTAGGTGGTTCGAACCTGAGCGTTGGTGGTTACAAGTCGAAGTTCTGAACTACTAAGACACCACTCCACAATTTCGGTATATTTATACCGTTTCACATTAGAAGAGTCTTCCAGTCATTTATACATTGATATAATCCAATAAATTTTCCAGTTATAATATCAAGTACAAGTCTTTGTATTCTCTTTAAAGACACATTTTATTAGTGGGAGCTAGTGATACTAGTTGCTGTTCACAATAAATCAGATGGAGGCGGGATTAAAATCTACTATCTGGTGTAATTAGAAACTGAATGTTTTTATGATTAATCTACTAATTCTTACTTCAATTTGATTAGTTGGTTCGTATCTATAGCCCCCATATAACTAAAGTATAACTCGGAGTGTGTAACTACATGTTCTGGGTAAATAGACTAAGTTATTTAATAATAGACAGTTATCTGACCCATTTTAAGTTCTCCAATCACTTTTGTATTTACATATGTTTACTCTAAAATGTGAAGTTGTTAACACTACCTAATGTTCTAATTAGATTATTTGAATGGCTCGTAAACTAACCCCTAAAATTAACATATGGTTTTTACTAAGTAATTACAGTATCTAGTATGTTGGTTACATTTACGAATATCGACATTCCAGGAGTAATTTGTTTACATTTACAGTACTAAATAGTAGTGATGGGATGCGATTGGCACCTGAGAAACCTACAATTTAACACAAATGCTAATTAAATTCAATTCAGTAAATAAAAAAAAAATAATTACTGATTAGCATTGACCAATCATATATTTTCACTTTCAATGTAACTGAAATTCTGAATTTTATTTATAAACAATTACCATCATACATATTGCGTTTGTATGCAATATTTTGTGTACTGATACTATATATATAATTTTCATAATACTGAAATCTTAATATTTGATGTTTCGAAATAAAGAGTTAAACTGGTAATCTTATAATCTAAAGGTAATTCTTGTTGTCTCTCAGATATCTCGATAAGAAGAACGTTAAAATTAAAGATATTTATCATAGTTATTAAAGGTAGTAATTAACTGTAAACACTTACGCATTTTACCCCCAATGGAGTATAGGCCACCTGCCAACTTAGTCTGTCCTGGGCCTTCTGTTTTGGTTCTATCTAACTGCTGTTCATCCTTTTCGTGTCTGCCCCCATTTCACGGTGTAATGTGTTCTTTGGTCTTAATGATTCCAGGTGAGGGCTTGCCTTGTGACGCAGCTGGGTGTTTTCTTGATCGTGTGTCCTACTCACCTCCAGCGCGTTTTCTTAATATCTTTGGCAGCAAGAATCTCAAGTTTCCTTTTCTATCAGCCTTTTCGAACGTGATTGCTAGATCTTCCATATATTTATGTTTGTCGGCTTTGATGTTGCTCTTCAGTTGCTTGTTTGCTTCTGTGTATTCAGCGTGTGCCTTGGCTTTCTCTGCTCTTTTTCTGCTGATATCGATTGCTGCCCTCTTGTCCCTCCTTTCTTGAATCTTATCTAGTGTTTCAATAGAGATCCATTCCTTTTGATGATGCTTCTTGCTGCCCAGAACCCCATGACACGTGGAAGTGATTGCTTCCTCGATCCGTTACCAGTTGTTCTCCATGGTAGTTTCCTCTGTATTGAGTAGATCTTCAAAAGTCTGGAACTTGTTTCTGAGTGCCATCTTAAATTCGTTGAGTTTGCCAGTATCCCGAAGAAAGTCTGTATTAAACTTTTGTGATGCTGTTCGCCCGTTGTCCAGGGTTTCTTTAGTGTCAGTTTCATCTTATCGGCTAGTATGTGTGATTTGAGGCTATGCCAGTTCCTCCCTTGGTTGTCACCCCCTCCATGGTCCTTCAGAACTATTCATTGATATAGATATGGTCGATTTGGTTCTGTGTGGTGTTATCCGGTGAAATCCATGTCACTTATTGTATGCGTTTGTGTGGGAATATTGCACTGCCTATGACCAGTTTGCTGAAGGCACCTAGGTTTACAAGTCTCTCACCGTTTTCTTTCCTCTCTCCCAGTCCATAACGTCTCATGATGTCTGCATTTCCAGTGTCTTTTATTCCCACCGTGACGCTTAGGTCTCCCATTAGAACAATCAAGTCCTTTGTCGGGCATTTCTTGAAGATTGTCTGCAGCCACTCATATAATTGATCTTTCTTGTCTTCATTGTTTTCTTTGGTATGTGCATATCACTAAATGGTATTCGTTGTGATCTCCTTTTCCTTTGTCTTAAAGGAAGATTTGATTTTCCTTGGTCTATGAGGTTCGTATCCTGTCAGTGCTTTTTGTGTTTCGCAACTTACGTAACTGAACAACCTTTTAAAGATTTAGATTCTTGCCTGTAAATTGACATCGCTCTTGTAACATGTTATTTGCGAATAAATTATTAATATCATTAATATTATTATTGGACAGCGTCAGTGCAATTCTTAGTGTATGTGAGGCATTTTCTTCTTCATGATCGGAGTATAATAGCATATTTCCCGAAGCTAGTCTTTGTTATCCAACTTGCATCCAATGTGTTTCACTGATTCCAATCACTACCAGACAGTATCTTTTCATTTCTGCAGCAACTTGGATGACTCTCCCTGTCTCCCACACTGTATGAACATTCCATGTACCTAAATTAATGATTGCTCTGGTTTTCAGAAGAGACATCGGTCTTGTGACTTCCGAAGGAACTTGGCTTTCTTCATGAGACGTGATAACTCTTTTGAATGAAGACCTTCTAAGTCCTAGGGCAGAGAAGTGGTTTGAATTATTTTTTCTGGTTAGCGTTTTTTAGCGAGTTAGTTTAATACGGGATGGGGTTACTAACCCCATGCCTAACCCTCCTCTTCTATCCATGCTGGGGCCGGTAGTAACACTAAAGGGGCTCCCGGCGGAGTTAATTGTAAACTCTATATTAGTTATAATGTTTAACAGTTTGTATTGGTAAACCTGAGGAATCCTATTCGCTTGTCTAAAAATGGATCAACACATTTTTTTAAAATTTAATGTTACAAACGTAACTATTTTGTTGTGTATATGGTTTAGAAATAAACACATATTATTAACTCGTTAACTTTTTAAATAAAGCTATTTTAACGTTTTCACTCCCCAAAGTATTATGAATTGATTCACTTATATCTATCATTGAGTGATTTTCATATCATACTGTAATCTAGAACGTGGTAAACTTCAGTCATTATAATTACTTAACTGGCAAATCAACAGTAACAAATTAGTCTAGACTGAACACACTAAAACTTTGTTGATGACATATTTTATAAGTTCTCACACGTTATGGCGAATTGTTTTATAACGTTATACTTTTTAGTGGTTTTTCGATTGTAATGATCTGTCAGACTTGTTTACAAACTAATTAATGTCATCATATCACTAATAATATATGCATCATATTTCTTTTCTTCATAACTTTATCTTTTACATAAATTAACTGACTTATTTTTGATACTTTGGGTACATTTATCAATGAAATAATTGAGGAGATTTACAACTACTCAAATAGGATGTTTTTGGCCTTCTTGTATTTTCTAAGTTGATTGGTTTAGTTACAACACTTTCATTGTCGTCATTGATAATATAATCAGTCCCTACTTTTGTTTCAAATACAATACCACCACATACATTCATTCATACATATGTTGTATTAACGATTTATTATTATTATTATTATTTGAGTAATTATTATGCATCTCACTTTACTATTTCAATATTAACCTGCCTTGTCAATGTATGCTGATCGATTGAAATTCTTTTTATTCGCTTTGACCTTGACCTCAAGGTTTATTATCACCATTTTGTATTTTATTGGCGTAACTAAAATATGCAGGTTACATTTTTATAAATTTTGTTATAATAACTATACATGCTGCTCATTAGAAGATGATTTATCTCTTAATGATAGTACACTATTCTTACAATATACTGATTACCATTACTGTACTTATTTATTTGATAGCATAGCATATTTCTGGAATCTGAAGGCACGTTCTATTTTTAAATGACCAGGATTGTATAATTTACACATTAATATTAGTTGAAACAGTTATGGAAGCTAGAATGAGGTTGAGGTGCAATAACTGTCTTTCTTCTTATAATGTGAGATAGAAAAAGTAGTAGTAGTAGTCCGTGAGATATTTACGTAAAAAAACAGCAGTAATCCAAATAATTTACGCGTTATATTCAGTATTTTGGTAATAATTGTCTAACAATTTCACATATTTTTCAGTAGTTTATCGATTATCAAAACATAAGGCACCTGCACTACTTTATCAGATGTCATTATATAATGTGTAATTGTGAGAGATAGAGAAGTAGTTATTGATCAAATTGCAACTGAATACTGTTACCAATTACTTACAGTTAATGTCTAACTTCATTTCTAATTGTGCTAAGGATTTGTTTAATTGGCTTTAACCCATACTCTTTGCGTGAAGGTCGGTATTACTAATTGAAGTAGGATAAACTGAACTCGAACGTCTAGCCAACTAGTTAAAATCTAAATTCCTTAATCATGAAGCCACTCCTCTGTTATTTTTTAGGTGATTTACACTAGTAGCTGCTGACACAAACATGAAAAAATAATTGATAACCATTCCCCAAACAACTTCCAAACTCATTGATTAATAAACTGAAAATACATCTATATAGGAACATAATAGGAATAACGTTTGTAAAGTCTCAGTCAGTAGTACAGCAGATTGTTGATATTTTCTGACTATTTCTATCACTGACAATCAACCCAATGCTCAATTTATTTGAAGTTATTAAGTCAAATCTTGACAAAGACATTCGTAAGGATATATTTGTGGCAACGACGAAGCAAGAGCCGTTGCCTCTTCCTCATCTCAGAGCACGATCAGCATCAAGCAGTTGGCCCTTAAGCTCTACGATCACACTCCCAGGTCTCTAAGACCAACACCGATCCAACTCCATCTTCAGGTTCCTCAAGGAACACCATTCCACGGTGTGGGCAGCTGGAAGTGACACCCACCCTCATACCCGTAACAACACACGAGACCAAATCGGTCACAATCAAATCCTTCCTACACCCTCTAACATCTCTCTTATCTCCACGACTAACCCTTCTCACACTCCTTTATCACGCTGCACCGCTTATGCAAACGATTTGAGTTCCCAAAATGTTATTCTTAGTCTCCTATTGTAGCTTTTAATGTCCGGACATTGTGTCAAGTGGGACAACAGGCTTCCGTAGCCATGACTTTATAATTTCGCTCCATTGATGTATGCTGCGTCTTCGAAACGCGCATACAGGATCCTAGTGAAATCAATTATTTGATTTGACCCTGTCAAAATAAAGAAGCAGCTCGATTTAATTAATCTTCGTGTATCTGGAAGCGTTGCTGCTGCTTCCTTTGGCCTCTCTGGTGTAGGTATAGTATTAAGTCCTAGGGCAGAACTAGCACTCTTAGACTGGATCTCAGTAGACATTCGCTTATGCGCTGTCCGAGTAAACGGGTTGGTACGGATTCGTAAAGATAGAGGAACTCGCCGATCCCTCTTTGTTTTACCTACCTACGCTCCCACTTAATGCAGTTCTGTTGTAACGCTTGCTTGAATAATTCCCAGCTAAATCCTATTGCTTAGTATTCTCTGACCACAATACACTGGACAAGTTCCAAAGAATCAAAAACACGGTTGAACAGGAAAAGATTATATTCCATATAGCAAGGTTAAATGGAAATACGAAGCCGAAGGCGAAATAGATACATCGTTAGATTCTTTATAGTATTTTCATGAGAAGCTTCTGGATGGTAATTCACGTGATCGACTGGATTAGATTTAGCCAATCAGCATGCAGCTAACAACAGGAGAATCTTCTACCCTGTTTTCCAAGAATCGATCAGGCGCTGATTGGATAGGAAATTAGCCAATCAGCGCGCAGCAACGTAGTTGTGCTTTAATTTCATCTGTGTCCCACTAACAAGTTCAGAAGAGATAAAAGTTGAGTTTTACAGAAACCTCTCTAAACTCCTTCAAAAAGCTAGGTGATCTGATATAGTAATAATATCTGGTGACTTCAATGCTGAAGTAGGTAGACTAAGTGGAAAGGAAAGACACCTGGGTGGATGTTATGGTGTCACGGCTCAGAGAAGAGACGGTGGCGACCTTCTGTTGCAACTATGCTCATATAACCGCCTATTTCTACCAAACACCAACTTTAGGCATAAGATAAAACATCTCTTGACCTGATTTCCCTGAAAGTCTTCTCAACACTGGACCCAACTGGATCACATTGCTACCAGCCACCGATGGAGGGGTTCGATAAAGGACTATCGCTCGTTCTGGGGTACACGTTTAGATTCAGATCATGCCCTAGTGCAAGCGCGTATTTGTTTGAGGCTTACTGGACGTAGGAAAGACACAGTAAGGAAACCTCTTAGGGTTCTACTTACATATTTCAGGAGCAACTGTGGCAGTGTCTGTCATTGAATTGCGTACCAAAGAAGTACATTAACCCTATACAGGCTCTCTATTCGAACACTACTGGTCGATTTAGAGCCTATGGCGAACTGTCGTCGGAATCGGTTACTTCAAGTGGTGTCCGTCAGGACTGTCCACTCTCCTCATTCTTGTTTAACTCTGTCATAGACTTGCTTTGAGAGTTAACATTATCCTCGTCAAATTTTTCAGGAGTAGTCCAAGAGGTTCGCTTTTCGACCTAGAGTCTTCTGACCACCCTAAGCAACAATACAAGCATGTTCTGGATGCGGTTTTCTCCCATCTGAATCTAAAATGTTGCTTTAGGACTGGCTTATAACGGCACCTGAACTAATTAATGATAGGGATTGAAGTAGTCGGGCGTGTAGACCGCTTCACTTATCTCGGGAGTCTTATCAGTGCCAGTGGCCTGGTGACTGACGAAATCTGAGCACGGTTACGGAATTCTCGATCGGCTTCTGCCAACTTGCGTCACCTACGGCGCAGGCGAGAATTCCGTTTGCTGACTTAAGGACGAGTGTACTGCGCAGTAGTTCACTCCGTCTTACTTTATGACTGTGAAACATGGCCAGTGAGAGTAGAAGATATTCGTAGGTTATTGGTTTTCGATCATAGGTGTCTTCGAAGCATTACTTGTATATACTGGGACAACCGAATAAGCAATGCTATAGTTTAGAAACGAGTACTAGGTAAGGATGGCAGATCAATAGATGAAGTGGTGAAACTTCATCAGTTGAGGTGGTTAGGACATGTGTTACGTATGCCCAACCACCGACTGCCTAGACGAGCTATGTTTTGTGTTGTAGGAGTAGGTTGGGAGAAAGCTAGGGGCGGTAATACCGAAACATGATACGATTCCACGAAGTCAATGACAAGTGGACTGAGTCATGTTGGTAGATGTAGGCTACCTGGTTGGGGCCCGCGAGACGAAAGTCACCAATGGTTAGAGACCTTGAACGACATGGCTTAAAACCGTTTGCAATGGCGCAGGTGTATTCATTCATTGTGTTCTTTGAAATCATAACTTTCTCAATTCCTCATCATCTCTATCTTTCTCTTTCTAAATTTATCTCACTGAATTATACTTCTCGAATCATATCTTCCAGCCATAATCTTCTCCATTACTTCTAATAATTCTACTATTGCTACCCTTTATGTGATTTGAACTGACAATGGCGTCTCTGTGCTAATGCGGTATGGCAACCTGAACTTATGTACTCATGTTCGAAGTTCTACATTTTAACTGACTGAGTGAAAAAGTTAGGCACTCTGATGTAGTAGTAGTAGTGGCAGGTGACTTGAATGCTCAAGTAGGTAGACTGAGTGAAAAGGAAAGACACTTAGGTGGATCTTATGGTGTGGCGTGCCTCAAACAACAGATTTTGGCGAGCATCTTCTTCAGCTTTTCCGAGACAACTGCCTATTTCTAGCATATACTATTGTAGTGAAGGAGAACACAGGTGAGGGCAACCAAATTGTATTTAACGAAAATTACAGAGTTACTCAGTAAAATAGGAAAACCATATCGTAACCGTTAATTTGCAAATCTTCAATCCATCATCCATCCATTGTCTGACATTTCACTATTCATGCGTTTCATACAAATTCCATTGTGTTCCCACTCTTCCTTTCTTGATCTTCCCCCATATTATGCTGCCAGACATTACGTTTACACTCGCGTCATATACTACCTATAAGTAGCGCGCACCACACTACAGGCACGATGAAAAACATCTCTTAACCTGGTGAACCTCAAAGTGGTCACAACACTGGACCCAACTAGATCACAACGCTATCAGCAGCCGATGTAGAGCCTCGATAAGAGTCTGTCGCTCGTTTTTGAGCACATGTCTAGACTCATATCATGCTCTAGTGCGAGCGCGCATTTCTCTGCGGTTTACTAGAACTAGGAAGGACACTGCAACGAAACCTCAAAGTGTTCCACTTAGTAGTAGCAAGTAGTAGTAGCAATCCTTGGATAGAATTCAGCATGTTGTTAACCCCATCTGTATTACACACTGTATACTCCTACTGAGAAGACTGAGGCAGGCGCGGAATATTGTATTATGCAAATTTACACTTTTAGTCAATTAAAAACGAAAACATTACATTAAATACTCTATTTGCACACCATCTTCGAGTCGTGACTTCCAACGCTCCATCCTTCTTCCATTCCTGTTGTTGCTTCCTTTCCTTCCTGTTGGTACTCCACTTACTTCTTGCTTTTGCTCCATTTGCTTTCCGTTTTCCTCTTCTGACCGTGAGACTTCTTTCACGTCCCTTCTTGTACTACTTATATCGTTCGTATAAGTAGCACACACCACACTACTATTCCGATACATTAGATTTCTTTTTTGTCAACTTGTACTATGTACTTCTGTCACTTTTTCAGTCTGAAACAAAAGTTGTAGTTGTTGTTATTTAATTTTTAAACTTGTAAGAAGTCAACTTTCACACTCCATTTTTACTTCTTTCGTCTCTTTACATATATCATAAAATTAAGCCAGTGGACATATAAATAGCTGATCTTCGGTCTTTGTGTCATAGCTGACACAATCTCAATAGTTCACATGAACTTGATTCCATGGATTATCGTCAATGCATATCTTAATAAATCCATTGTTTGTTTTTGCTTTTTCTTTTCCTATCTGCATTTACAAATAACTACAGTTGCCTGATGGTCGTGTTATCAAAGTAGGCGGTGAGTTATTCGGTGCACCAGAAGCTCTTTTTCAGCCTCATCTAATCGATCGTGAAGGTTTTGGTATATCAGAATTATTATTTAATACAATTCAAGCTGCTGATATTGACACAAGACCAGCATTCTACAAGCATATAGTATTAAGTGGTGGGAGTACAATGTATCCTGGTTTACCAAGTCGTCTTGAACGTGAAATTAAACAGTTATATTTACAAAATGTACTAAAAGGTGATACAGAAAGATTTTCAGTAAGTATTCTAATTCTTTTTTTAAATCAAGTTACTTGAACATAACAAAAAACCTAGCACATGTATACATCGGTTCAAGTTGTCACACCATCATTAGAACAACAAGATACAATTGTTAGTGCCAGTCCCAGAATAGTTGAGTGAGTAACAGTATCAGTAGTAATCGAAAGAATCGGGCATCAAATATACTGTTCAAGAATTACCAACTAAATTTTATTGTTCCTGTACTGTGTATAAACTTTTAAATGATAATCATATACAAATAGTTATCGAATACTTATTATGAAGTAGTATCTTATTTACAGAACGTCTCTTTGTTTGTGGATGAGTTTCAGATTTGAAGTTCTCTCCCATTTCAGCTTTGACAGTATTACTGGGGCTTAAACAAACAATGTGTAAGCCTGTACTTAGTGAATGAGTTACCGCTTCATTCACATGGGTCAGTCTGAATCGTATCATGAGGTAGTGGGAACTTTTTTATTCGCTTTGGCTAAAAATTATGTTTGAACGTAGTTAGAGAGGATACAATTTAAGGTGGATTATTCATTTATCTGGTGATCCATATATCGTGATTACCATTCATTATTTTTTCAATATTTTTAAAGGTTTTAATTTTTTCTGGGTATAAAATTATGAGGTTTTATGTTTTTGTGTATTAGTATCGTACTTCTTTGTGCTAAAAATAATTAACCATCACATATTTAACAACGTTCATGATAAGTGAGTGGATACTCACCAAGCAATCAAAACACGATATACACAGTAGTTTGTTCTGTCGTATATCCAAGAGTTACAAACACTAAAGGCGAATAAGACTACATTTATTCAATTATCAATGCCACTTTCTAAACATTGCAGCTGTATAAAATGAATAAATAAAATGATTAACAATTCTGAATTCAGACTTAGTTCTAACTGTCGTTAGTTAGCTGGATTATAGTCATGAATCTTGATCGAATACAACTTATTCAAATACGTCTAGTACGTGATCAGTGACGAACTTGAAACGTATATACACTTAAGAGAAAGCTTTGTCGAAGTGGTACTTTAGTCAAAATATAAAACCATTAATTTTTAAAAAATAATGTAGTTAAACGTAGACATTGATTTAAAAAATTGATAAATGCATATAGTAATGACAACAATAACTGCTACTACGACTATATAATTTTCCACTCCGAATATCTTTTGATATATTTTCTTTTCTATTTGAGGTCATTACTTATTATAGTGTTGTGTAGAGGGCCATATACTCGTTTAGATCACGGACTAATCTTAGTTAGACAACCTTTGAGAAAACCAGGAAGCACTGGATAACAGTTTCGTCTTAGTATGGGAACTCTCAATAGCGCTCCTCTTCCACGACCCCACTGGGGTCGAGTCCAAGACCCTCAGGTTTGGTGGCGGACGCTTAACTTTTAAGCCACTAGGTGTCCATCTAGTGGTTTACGTTTCAATTTGAATTTGTACAACGACTGATGATTAGTTCATACATAACATCAGGCATGTGTTTTTTTATGGTGCCTAGTATCCAGTGGTTGCTTATGACTGGAAATCAACTAACCAATTAGCTATCGAATAAAAGAATTCCTTTGACGCTGTTTCACTAGTTTAAAACGAATTTCTCCAACTGAATTTTTTACTGAGAAAGAAGAATGTATTTGTGCTATTAATATTATTTTTGAAATAATGGAATTGTCAGTATAGTCTTCACCATGATTTCTGGTCTCATTTGGGTAAATTACTAACGACCTGGACTTATAGTTGATGAAATTATTTGCCTATATTTTGATTTCATTTTCATAATGAATGATGTCGATTAGTCATTTATGCCATATCGCACAGAAGAAAACGTATGAAATTGTTTCAGGTTCATATTGCATAGTAAAGACAGTTCGTTTTTGGTGTCTTTAGTCGAGCTAGGGGTTTATTTCAAAACTAAAAAGTTTGGATTTTATTCATCCAAGTGATAATAATTTCAGTTCGTTTTACTTTTTTGATTCATTATTTTCGCCAGAAATTCAAAATGTGCATTGAAGCCCCACCTCAACGAAAGCATATGGTATTTATAGGTGGATCAGTTTTGGCAAATATTATGAAAAATGACAAACGTACTACATGGCTAACTCGTGCTGAATACGAAGAAAAAGGTTTGAAAGTATTAGAAAGACTAAACTACTATAAATAACACTTTATCATGACCATTTCGAAGTATCGAATTCAGGAGGATATATACTTGTTAACTAATTATTCACCACATAACCTTGCCAATGTACGTCAACTTGCCTTCGCTCACAAATTACCCGTAACTTGTGTGTTTGTTTTGCTCGTCTCTATTCAATATTTTTTTAACGTTTTTCCCGTTTGGTTTATTTATGAGAAAGAAACTTAATTTACTGTAAGAAGTTGATTGGAAAAAACCCCCACTACATTCATTATGTTCATCATTCGACTCGTGTATACAAATTAGCCAATCTAAATTGTCAACCATTATGTACAGGGGAGATATAAAATTCAGCAAATATTTTCTGTTGTTAACACATTGTAAGTGGGATATAAATAGAGGAGATTTATGATTAAGCTGAACTAAATGCTGCATAATTTTTTTTGTGATGTTTTCATTATTTTAATAACTTTTTTTTTCGCAACCAAGGCTTCAGACAATAGGAAATGTAATAATTTTTTTCTTTTTTGAAATTGTAATCATGTATTGTTTCTACATTTCTTTTTATAATAACTCGTACATATTCTGTAAAATTATTTATTTAATGTCTTCTATTGTTATCTTCAATGTGCGTGGTTGTGTAGAAACCACTAATCGATTATCATCGTTTCATTTAAATGACGGAAAGCTTTACAGTATCTACACTGATGCTAACTTCTAGCCCTTAGTAGATTTATAACTGTTGCTTTATTGTTTGAGTGTTAGCTGGTCAGAGGTAGTCATCAGAAAACGCTGAGCCTCCATTTCTCGCTAGTTGCCATTTATCAGTATGGCATACTTAAAATTGATGATCAGACTTAGACTGCGAACCTAGTATTTATTACACTAAACTCCGAAGTGTTACTCTTATAATTAGTATATATATATATATATATATATATATATATATATATATATATGCACACATGTATATAAATTTTTAAATACACTTATTAAGACGTTATCATGTTAGAATAGTGGAATAACATAATCATAAGAAATTGCGTATATGTATATTTTTATCCGGAAAGAATAATAACAAAAGAGGTGTTAAGTGACTTTTTGCAACACTTAATTACACGTAACGTTACAGTACAAATATAACCAAAAGTAGTTAATAGTGCCTAAATATCAATCGAAGACAGTGTTAAACGTAAAGCTGGTAATAGTATTTTTTTTCAAGTCTGCCACACTAACTAGCTAGCTACAACGTAGAACTTCATACTTACGTGCATCAGTTCAGGTTGCAATACCACATTAGCACACAGACACGATTGTCAATTTAAATCCCAATGTAGCAGAGCTAGTAAAAGTATCAGCAGTAATGGAGGAGATTAGGTTTCGAAGATATTAATCGACGAGTATAACCTGGTGAAATAAATGTACAGAGAGGATGACAAGAGTGATAAGTGATTCACAAGATTACATTTTGCGAGAACACAAAGAGTGGATGCACCTGCGCCATTGCAAACGATTTTAAGCCATGTCGTTCAGGGTCTCTAACCATCGGTGACTTTCGTCTCGCGGTCCCCAACCAGGTAGCCTACATCTGCCAACATGACTCAGTCCACGTGTCAGTGACTTCATGGATTTGTGTCATGTTTCGGTATTACCGCCCCTAGCTTTCTCCCAACTTACTCCTACATCACAAAACAGAGCTCGTCGATGAAGTTAGCGTTCGGGCATACGTAACACACGTCCCAACCACCTTAGCCGATAAAGTTTCAATACTTCATCTATTGATCTGCCATCCTTACCTAATACTCGTTTCTAAACTATAGCATTGCTTATTCGGTTGCCCCAGTATATACGAGCAATGCTCCGAAGACATCTGGGCCGGAATCCAACGGCGACTTCGGTAGTTACTGCCTACACCCGACAGGGTTGAGCTCCACTGGTCAGGTCTTCTCACTAGAACTCCGAGAATTTCCTCAGGAAACGAGTCACTAGTGAGCACACTGCACGACTTTTTCATACTTGCTAAGATTCAATCAAGTGACGAGTCATCCTATTTTCAATATCTATCCACTTGTGATTAAAGCTGCAAGAGGTTTTAATGATCGTTAACTTGCAGAGATTAGTAGACGCCTATTTACTAAGTACTAACTAGAGTATGGGAATGCGAAACACATTCCAAGTTTGAGGCCTAATCATACTACTCGGTTACCCAAACCGAAGTAGCTGTAACGGTATGGACCTGTGATTTAGTGGCAGGAAATCGAACATCTGAACAGTCGCTCCACTGGTGGATGATTAGTATACTACTGTATATTCCTTTGCCAATTATTTCTTTTCTATTTTATTCAAAATTACTCCTCATTAAATATCACTATATTGAAGTGATATTATCATTAAAACGGCTCAAATAGACAGAAGTTAAATATGAGACTGGATTTTATTGGAACATCTTATGCAGAATACTTCATGTGGACTATACAATCTTTTCAAATCAAGGATGGAATCAGTGGAAAGTTTCACTTGTTTATAATAACAAATAGTCCACTTGAATTTCGTCTATGTAGACATCTGTGCGCATAATTTATGGCGTACCATACAAACTGAAACTACTATATTTCATTCTCAAGACTATTTGCAGCCTTTTTTCTTTAATGGTACTCGAAAATGAACTAACAGGCGAGTGTCACATTTACTGAACGCCATCTGCAGCAAATTGATAAAATACAGTTACATAAACAACTACTGAAACATCAAAAAATGAGCAAACCAAATAACGTATATCAACTGGGATAGAAGCTTGCATGAGTTCTAATACGTGGGAGGGATTATTCACCTAAATGAATGCACCATGTTGAAGTGTTTCTATTGTATATGTTGGGGAAGTTAGATTCCCAGAACTCGCTTGATAAATGCCTTATTTTGGATTTCACGTTTGCGAGCATGGGATGATCAGTTAACCTTCAGATTTCATTTCCCATCAGGAAAATTCTTGGCTACTGTGTATTTTAGTTTGCTATTTTTGTGACTGTCCCAAGGACGTTTCTATGATGTATAAATAACCGAGATTTGTGTGCTTGATTGCATTGTGCTTGCTTGGTGTTTGTACAATATACTTTCTAGGTAGCCTACCTGGACGCTGGTTCATTGTCTCGTTCTAGTTTATCGACTACGGTCAACCCGTAGTAGTTTAAAGCATACCTATTGCCGAACCTAACAGTAAGTGCTTTTGCGGTACAAAAGCTTCCCATTCAGTCATGTTGTATTCTTCGGTTTAGTTCAGTTGACCAAGCGTGACAAGTGTACTCATTAGTAGTGGCTATGTTAACAAGTATAATTAGTAATAAAAAATTTATTTAAAGAAAAATTGCATTAATTGATAAACATAGATAAATAAAAGATAATCTACCAGTTAAATGCATCAAAATAAACTTTATTTTTCTGGTTGTAATATGTTCATCACATCTGAAAAATTCTCTTTTCTACACATTATGAAATGCAATTAAAAAAGTGCTTAAATCTATAAAAATGCGAGTGAATAGAAATATGTGATTCAAAATATTATCGAAGTCAATTTCTCCTGTTTTTAGAAAAAAAAATCATTTCTTTCATCCAAAACACTCTTTATTGCTGGAGAAAAATCTTTTAGCGTGTTCTAAAGCTTCTGATAAATTTAAGAACTTTGTCTGTTGATTTGATGATGACAACAAAATTAGTTGTTTGTCATCTAGTCGTTGATGAATAATACTTTGTTGAACCCATTTAGGCAATTGTGTTTGGATTGTTGAACGACAATATCGATTATCCAGTAAGAAGACAACAGCATAATCTTTTGCATGTCGTATAGATCGACCAATGGCTTGGTTTATTGAACGCATACACATTGTTTCATAATACTGTCTACCTGGAGTTTGTGCCGAATGAGAATTGCGGATGAAGTGCCGATCTAAATAAGTCATTTTTTCTCTTAACTAGAAAAACAAGAAACAAAAAGCTTATTATTGAACATTTTCGGATAATGAATAAACAGTTGTATATTTTTAATATGTTTGCTATCTCATTCAAACATATCGCAGTTTTATTCGGTTACTAATCCCACACTTCCTATATCGTTGACTGTATAAAGAGGGTGAACCAATACCCCTTTGAGAAGCTGATGTGAACATTATTCCATACAGATCTCACATACTTGTATCTTGTCTGACCTAGACAGAGACATGTTCAAACTGACGATAAGCTTCCTCAACTTTCACTTGTTATGTGACCTCGTAGAAGTACACAAATCATCTGCTTTTGCCCGACACTAGTCGATCGTTCGTCTTTTTGATCTTCGTTATGTATCAATTAGTAAGTAGCAAGTAATATTCATAATTCGGTCATCAGCTGGGAAATGTGATTGTAAGCCAAACATCACTGCACAGCTGTTTATTCCTAATTTAAGAATAATATTATGTAGAGAAGAGCAATCACGAGTGTTCCTAGATGATGATGACGAATTTGTTAAACTCTATAATCACTTTTTGAAAGAATGGAAATTTATAGCTCAGGCAGATGTTTTTAATGGTATTGTGTTATGTGGAGTGAATTTTTAACACTAACTACTTCAATTAAATTACTTTTTATAGTTCCCGTTTAACAGTTCACCAATCAAAATAATGCAGAAATATCTACTTTAGTTATGCATCGTTAAACTTAGCCAACATAAAACATGTATCGGAATCAAAATCACTGGAAAAATTTATCTTTTAAAATCATAAGGAAGAGCTGAAATCAGCATACTTAGTTTTAACAAATAATATGCAATACAAACTAGACTTTATGTGAGGATATTTGTCCAAAGAAATTGAAATGACCAAAGAAGAGTTGATAATTAAAATGTTGCAATCCAATTTTATCAAAATCAGGAAAGCAATAAAGATCAGATTATTTAAGGTTAATAACACATTATCGGCCTCATAGACTTTGGGATCGAACAATTTAAAACCTTATGAAACTAACGCAATTGGCTAGTTGCTTCAGACTAAGGAAAAGATAACCAATGAAATAGAAGTTATATGTATACAATAAAATTTATGCAATATATTTACTATTGGAGACTGTGGATTCGCATATGGCATGCCGATAATGACCACAACTCGTGCTAAATCATCCGTAAAATTTATTCCTTCACTCAGTTTCCCACCAATCACACATAACAAGAGAGCACCATGTTTATGCTGAAGTTTTTGGGTAGCTGCTACTGCATAAGCTTGCATAATCTAAAATTTCAAAACAAGTTATTTGAAAATGAAAACATTATCAGGTAAAATCTCAGAATCAAGTAGATTTCATATAATTTAATAAAACTATTTAAAGATTTCTGTAATCCGTAAGGTGAGTTTAAGGAATACGTCTATATTAATTGAAATGTCTCTGGAAAATAGCATGTGAGAGTCATCAGTACACCTCAATAAAAATGTTTTATACACAGTTATAGAAGACTGATTATAATAAACCCGCTAGTAAATAGTCTTAATTCTAGTACCACTTAATGCATGCAATGAACCATGTCGGGAACGATACATTGACTCTCTGATGATATTGTATGATGGTTGAGCTATACAGTGAATTGTTGAGAGTTTTAGTTGTAAACCAATGATAAATGAACAATCCTTGCCATCAGAACTAAAGTTTATGAATTCACTTCCATTTATATATATAAGTATGCACTACCTATGAATCCTAAAATAAAGATAAAGCCGATGGTCAATGATTGCAAGCTTTTAATGGTTCAAATCGTTGTCTTCAAGTAACCATACAGATAATTAGTATAAAAAGTTTAAGTTTTGGAGAGGAATTCATATCTTTTAACCATATAATATAATCTAAATTATATCGATATTAGACAAGACTAATATGAAAAAAATGTGACAGGTTATAAACATATAAAACAATTTCTATGAAATAATCACACTACTTTTACACGACAAGTAATATAACAATACATCATTATATTTTAAAATAAAGATGAAGGAAACAGTTGGAATACCTTTGGAAATAGGGTTTCTATTTACTTTATAATAATTTATGAAGTTAATCTTTACCATCTGATATGTATCTAGTATCTAGGTAAGAAGTGATACGTACAGAGAACATTTTCTCTATATTTATTGTTTGAACGAAGTTAGTCATTCTATTAAAGTACTAAATGCACAAATTTACATTAGCTCAAAACCATTCAGTGCTAGACAACTGGTTTTATCGATTCATTGTAACAATGCTACATATTAAAGTGTAATTTTATGTAAGTTCCAGAAATTTTACTGTACTTATTTTTTTCTTTCAATGTATAAGTATCTAATACCTTAACTACCTCTTCTACTATTGGATTTGAATTGACAATTATATCTCTGTGCTGATGTGGTATGGCGACATGAACTGAGGTACTTACGTACGAAGTTCTACGTTGCAACTGACTGACTGACTAAGTATCAGGTATATTGTGAAACTATATCATTAACCCATTATACAATAAAAAGTTCAGGGTATGAATATTGAATTTCTCCAGCACCATTTTCTAGTTGTCGTCACCTAATAAGGTAAATCTAATTGTAAGTAGTGGATTACTAGTGAAATGAAAAAAAGAGTATTCTGTTTAAGATGATAATGTAAGTGATTCAGTTTATTTTGTACAAATGTAAGGAACAGAATTTAACATAAACAGTATTATGAGCTAATATTTCATTGATATTTATTAAGGTGTAAGTATATTCTGTAAAGTATCAATAAATGAACGGGAAAACTTTTATACTTTAATCCTTCTTTACTTTATTAACTCATTATGAAAGAAAATTTAAACAAATAAATTAAACTTTATCAATAACAACAACAATAATAATAATAACATCAATCACTAACTAACCTGATCTAAGTTAACTGTTGTTTTTGGTTCATGAAATAGACTTTTATATTTTGTTATTTTATCCAATAAACCTGTTGATTCCCAATGATTATATAAAATTGATTGATATTCATAAGATGGAGTAAACACAACAATTCCAGCTACAATAGAAATAAGAAAAATAATGTTAAAGGGTAAAGGTAAAGTAATAATTAAATAAAAAATAATATACAGGTTGATAGTTGGAATAAAGTTAATTGACCAAGTTTTACAAACACTACTTGTACAGCGTTGAAATAAATTCACAATCAATCAACTATTAGTAAGGTTTTATTAATATACTATTGTTTATAATCAATATATAAGAGCAATTTAGAGTCTTCATGAACTTAGGAACTCATTAGATTGCATGTTGGGCATTTCAAGCGAACAGTACTAGGTTTAAGTGTCAGTGAGAACATCAACATTGGTATGCAGGTGTATCCAGCTGACGAATTATAAGTAAGATTAAATATATATGTCTGGAACTCGACTGTTAGTCAATCAACTAGTTTTCAAGACTTATATTACTGGGAAGTACTGAAAGGTTAGTTATTTGGTTAAATGTGATTACTGAATAGTGGTTGTGGATTGAAGATCCATGATGATAAACAGTATTAATCATTAAGGTGTATTTGTAATAACAGAGAAAATAATGCTTGACAGAAAATAGATATAATCGATCTGACTTATTTGATCGTACAAATTTTAATTTTTGAAGATAGTAGAGGTTAATAATTAACTACGATGAAATTATCTTTCATATGTATTGTTTTATCTAAGAAAATATGAAAAATATTTTTATTTGGAAAATCAATGAACTTTCTATGCTTATTTTTTAAACATCTTTTCTGTATAGAACTTCGAGTACTTAATTATATTTTAGTGAATAACTACTACAGCTGATAAAGAACTTATATATAAACATTTTTAGTAACATAGTGCAATATTGGTTTGTTTAGCTTAAGGATTTGATTGTACAGTTAATAGACAGTAGTGGATTTATATGACGTAGAAAATAACATCATTGAATAACATAAATAAAACTTTGTATATAAATTGCACTATCTACTGAGTTTTATTTGATCGTATAAGAATTAAGTGAATTCAACTGACTTAGTAACTCAACGGTTTGTTTGATCGGAAATTCATTTTTAGCTTAATCAGTTAGCTACAACGTAGAACTTTGTACGTACGTACATCAGTTAAAGTTGTCATACCACATTAGCACCGTGATAAAATTGTCGATTCAAATCACATAGTGGTGGAGGTAGTAGAAGTATTAGCGGTAATGGAAAGGATTAGGAATCGAAGAAATTATCCGAGAAGTATAATCCCGAGAAACAAATTTGAAAAAAAAAGATAAGAAAAGGTCCTGAGCTCATGAGGTTATGAGAGAAGACAAAGAGTGGATGCATCTGCGCCATCGCAAACTCAAGTTAGTCACCAATTGAAATCAGAATATGAAATTTCGTGCACTAAGTTTATCTTATGTGCAATAACCTATTGCTACGTTTCGCTAAAATGTGTAGGTAGCAACGAAAGTTGTACTAAGATTACAAAGTTCTAGTGATAGTCCAAATTTGGGACAAATACAGCGAACAATGAAACTTCTCTTATTTCCTTCAAGTCCAAAAAATGAAGCTGCATCTACTTTTTTATAAATATAAAAAACCTGAGGAGATTCCATGAAAGAAATATAAAATTTAGAAATGCCCTTTTTAAAAAAATCCACAAATTTCATTGAAATTATGAAACGTTCTTCAAGTTCTTCCAAGTTTTCAATGTTAGTTCAACTTAGATCGTTTCGTGATTTCAGTGGAATTCAACGATCTCCACAACCCCATTTTGATGTATCTACAAATCTCATTAAAAACACCTAAACAATAACAGAGATTCGTCAGAAAGTTAGCAACTCAGAAGTTATCGATATGATATATTTAGAATGAAATAAAATATTGTAAAACGTCTTCTTAAAATGTGTTTTTGGAGTTAACAATCTTACAAAAACGTATCTGATTTCATATAATCTAACTCAGCATATAAATTAGTATGCTGGACATTTAAGTCACACCTTTTTACAAGGACAGCTAGTTGATATGACTTTTGTGCACAATTTGAATTCATATTGACACTACTCTTAAATGACTTTTAATCAATCTGATGATGTGTATGTAATTAATACAAACTTGTATATTCTCAGTTTCATTCACATAAATATCACATGATCCATGTTCAAACAAGAAGAGCAGTTAAAAATTCAAGCGTGACCAATAAATATGATTTATGAAAATGGGAAGAACTAGAGAATTCAACGATTATTAAGACTTTTTTTTTTAAATTAAATAAAATCAATCTAAACTCTGTTTTTGCTTACTAGCAATCAAATATCAATGATAGTGTATAAATCCACTAATGACTACTTTCTATTTTTGATATCATGATTCGTTTTTTTTTTGATGCAGAAAAAAATTCCCAGTTAACTCACTTTTAAAATTCATCTACCATTAGCATATTTTTTTTATGGTGTAGGAACGATTATTTTTGTGATGCAAGCGTCGATGACAGTGACGAAATGTTTTCAAGAAAAGTAATTTGTTTTCATAATTCGAAATAAATAAAAACTTATTCGAGAAATAGACAGTCATCACCGATGAGTAATGTATAGATAGTTGAGCAATACTGAAAAGTTAATGAAGTTAGAAACGATAAACTATGAGGTTCCAGTTTAATGATCTAATGGTAACGCACTCGACACAACACCAAGAGATTGTAGATCCAATCAAAGATAGGATTATGGATGTACAATAAAATGGAGTTCCATACAGGAACAGATCAACTATCCAGTAGTTAGTAAATTTCAAAAGTTACCTAAGAGCAAAACATAAAATAGGTTAACCAAACTCATTTAAGTAACTTTACATCCCAGTGAACGTTTCTGAGTGTTACAATGAACTATGTGTCATATAGTAACAGTCAGACATGTCAGTGAGCTATAAAGGCTGAGATTCACTTAATAGTCTGGTATACTTCATTAACTAAAATTGATTTGTTTTTTTGAACAGTTTGTATGTTCATGTTGTGAATTTAAAGAAATTAGTTTACAAAAAAGTAAAGAAATTAAATTTATTACAAAAACTTTTAAATATATATTTATCAGTTGAAACTGTAATGAATATCATCTACACATAGATCTTTATATTGTCTTGAAGTGAATCAAAAACCAAAAATTGTTACAGTATAATATGAATTCATTTTAAATCATTAAATGCTTATCAACTGTTTATAACTTAGAATATTTTAAAACTAAAATTATCATAGAAATATGTATTAACTTATAAATATGAAGTTGGTTATAGAAATCAATGTGCATTATGGAGTAGCAAAGATTCGAATAAAGTTAATAAGGTTTTTGAAACATTTGTTTCATATAAATCAACTGTGATTCCAGAATGTGAATGGTGGTCCAACAAAGATCGATTCATTATTTCAATGAAAATTATTACATCAAATGGATGAACATACATTTACAAGACAACTTCTAATCATTGATGCACACAATACAAAGAGAGATGGGTAAAAAATATAATCGAAGTATGAGAATGTTTTGAAAATTGATTCACAACACTGAGTTTCTTATAAAAAAATATACTGAAAGAGATAACTAAAAGTATATAGAAACAAATTATCAGTTTCTTTGATACCATCGTCAAAACCAAATATATAAATTTTATGTAAAATCATCTACACATCGATTTGTTTTATCAATTAATATTATTGTAATTAAGTTGTAGGTAAATGTCACAAGAAATGCACCAAATAAATAAACTTATATATTAACCAACTACAATTGCATTTTACACTTCAAAAGAAAAAATAAACCGATCAGTGATATATTGATATATTCTTAAAAAAAATAAATAAACCCTTAAAAAAAAGTCAATATGATATGACGTTGGTTGTATGCCAGTCCAATTAATTACACTTTTTCTCGAAAGTACGGTTGAAAAAAACAATCAATATTAGAGTAAGTAAGTTTTCAAAGTGTAATTGATTGATTTTCGATATCATGACAATCGATTCTGTATACAAGATATGATCATTTTAATCCAACTTAATTTTACTCTAGACATTATCGCTAATTATTATAATATAAAATGGCTACACCTTTTATGTTATACGCCATATAATCATTGAGTTGAATATTATAGGATGTCGATTTGTTTATCTAACCAAGTTAAATAATTGTAATATAATAAGTGATTCGTAAAAAATTGCTCATCATAACAAACAATGTAGATTTATCCCTTTAAATAATATAATTGATCTAATGTGTAACTAACTAACTAACACTGTCTATACTTGGTTGACGAGACTTCGATTGTATTGAGTTCGTCGCTATGTATGCTTGAGGCTATTACGAGTTCGCCTTAGTCGATAACCGCGAACGAGACTCTTACCAGCTTCCAGATAGGCTACCTTCAATCCCCAAATAAAGTAAGAAGACTTTGTAAGCGTAGAAAGTATATTCTACAAACACCCAGCAATCACAGTACCATTAAGCATACAACTCTCGTTTATTCATACATCATATAAACGTCCTTGGGACAGTTAAGAAAATAGCACACTAAAATACACAGCAGCCAATCACAGCCATGGATTTTCCTGGTGGGAATTGAAATTTCAAGGTCAACTGATCAGCCCATGCTGGCAAACGTGAAAACCAAAATAAGGCATTTATCAAGCGAATTTTGGGGATCTAACATCCCCAACAGATTGTCTTTAAATCCAAACATTGATAATATCTATATTATTTAATTAATATTCACTGATCAATCTGTTTGACTAATATACTATTGTTTCTTGTTGTTATTTGCCAAAGTTTTGAAAACCTGTGAATACTATCCTGATTGATAAGTTTCACTATCGTGTAGCATTAATAAAAAATTTTTTTTAAAAAAACAACAACATTAACCCAATAGACATAGTTCAAACTGAATAGAATGATTCAGCGTAAGATTTCGAGTGTAGACTGCCTCTATCAATTATTTTTTAATGAAAATTTTTTCAAGTATTTCTTCTATTCAAGGAATGAATCTTAAAATGTTTTGTAAGAGCATAC